ATCCACCCCCCCCCCACCCCACCCCCCCCCCCCCCCCCCCCCCCCCCCCCCCCCCCCCCGCCCGCCCCCCCCCCCCCCCCCCCCCCCCCCCCCAACACCAAGCGGGTCGGGTCTGGTGCCATCTAGAATTATAGGCACAACGAGCCCACGCTCAAATAATAGGCAAAGAAATAACCTCAATCACTCCCAGACTCTGTGGTAATCACAAGGAGACTGGTCCAGTTTCAATTGTACGACGTATTTACTCGCATCGACCGATTCGGGGCCAGTTGTGTTGTTCTACTTCAATGACGAAGATTCAAAGGATCTATGAATGATTTAAGGTCGTAAGACCACGAATAATAACAAGTAACCACCTTTAGGTAGATATCAAAGTGGTTTGATAAACCCTCCGGATAGGGGCGGTCGGGGGTTGTGTTGCAATGGCAATACAAATGCATGAAATCAATCTCTCCTGTAGGACCATCCAGATCCCCCGCACACTCACCGCTCTATCTATATGGCCTCAATGGACTCATAATCCTTCTTAGGATTGCTTAAATGGCCACCAATGTTTTAAGAGTATAGCAGGTACCTAACCTATATTTTGGGGGCCATGCATGCAAGGTGTCTGCAATTAATTTCCACTCGATGCTGAAATGTCACGTCAGATCAGCAGGCTGCCATCTAAGAGAGCGCCCCCCAAAAACAAACGGCGAAGCGAATATTTTCAAGACGCATTGCTTGCACAGGTTGGGAAAGGATGGAAAGTGTTACTCTTAGGTACCTCTCTGGCAATTCAGATGAATGCTAAGCTTAACGACACTTTGATTCTTCGCGCCGAACTAAGTATTTTGGTGATGGTCTGCATGAAAAGTCGCTCTTTGACTGATTGTATGAAATTTCTGTTTCCTCCGCCCTCCTCCCAGATATCTTATTTCACTCGTTAATAAACCAAGGGTCTCCAGTAAGTGAATTATGACCTGCTTGACCTATTGCAACTATAATCTCCGTTGTCAGAAGGATACCTCCTCTAGTTAAATCCGCTTCACCGGTCTGTTTATTCTTGCTAGAGGTTGACGGATATTTCACTAGCGGTATTGTGGTATCTCTTGCTTCATTATATATCGTACCTGGACTCGACTGTTGACTTCGGACGGGGGCTCGATGAGATGGCCAAGAATGGGACTTTGTCCTTTCTCCCCGCTTCTTCCAAGAGAGACGGGTATAAAGCATCAAATGATTAATGGCGCTGGAGATCGATCCTCTGTTAGATATTGCTGCTGGTAGCCACGGGGCACCAAGCGCAAGGAAACAGCATGTATTCTCAGCCAAAGTCCAAAGATAGACAGCGCTAATCATATACATACTGTCATCTGGGTTGATATATTTGACCATGGTAAATCCGCGGGCAATCGAAAATGCCAACGCTCTGTGGTTAGTTTTCATTAGTATCGTTATGGAACTTTTCTTTTGTGAAAGGCACATTGGGACTCACAGGAAACCGACAAGGAATAAGACCGAAACTCCAAGCTTCTTCCTCACAGTTGACTGTAAACGCCATATTGCTCTTTGTGACATAACCAATACAATAGCAAGGTAGATCGAGTTGGACACTGAGCCTGGGACCTGGTAAATTCTCGAGTCGATACAGTAACCCTCGCTGATTGTTTTATCCCAGATTCTTTGGTATGGAAAACAAGACAAATTCTCGGCAATGATATACGCAATATGAGTCAAACTGATGAAAGCCAGCAAGCTTTTACCAATCCAGTAGAACGAGTTCTTGATGCCGCACGGAACGAAGAGGCGATTCCACTCGATGGAAATGGCGGCTTTCCAGAGCCCTGAGTTAGCAGCAGACAGATTGTTTCCGATGTGGTAAATCTACCGAAATTATCAACATTTGGAAACTATTTTGTATTTTTGAATTGGAACCTGTAAAAGTATCATACGTAGAATGCCGAAGTAACGTCCTTTGTCACATCCCCTTCATCAATAAGGCGACCATAAACGGATATGAAGTGATATGAACACCATATGCTGCCGCAGTAGGTTCCCTATTATGTTACTTGTAAGCCAGTTGCTTTATGATTGCCCGGTATGGCCGTAGCTAGTAGGGCTTCATACCATTCCGGCTAATACGAGGCCTATCACGAAGACAAAAATTACCTAGTCAGTGTCTGATATATTGTTTCCCAGGTACCTAAGAGGTAGGTAGACGGGTATCGTACCGTCTTCAATGTCCAGCTTCTTTGTACTATATATTTTTGCATAGGCGCGACCGAGGAAAACAAGTACTGTTAAAAGTAAACATATTGCATTCGTAAAATGGGATATCACATGAAGATTTGTTATGTGCTTGAAGTTTGACATCTGGCCTGGTGGTGGTTTATCGGATATAATAGAGCTGTTCGACATGATGCAGGATATTAGCAGATTTTTCCTTGACATCGAGTGTAGAACATCAACCAGACAATAGATCTTACATATATGATGAAAAGAGAACACAAGGATCCAATGTAATAATGAAGCCTCTGCAAATCCTTACCTGCTTTAGATGCCTCCTAAGGTGGCCGACTGCTGAAGTTGCTGCCGGAAGCAGATCCCATCTCGTGACTGTTAGTTGTAGGCGTCATGTCAACACCTCGTAGGAACCCCAAGGTCCCTAACAATGCTGGTTATTACCTCCTATGTTACCTTCTACGTTACAATCTTCCCAGGCCCGCATTTGACGTGGACATTGCACAATATGTTTTGGCCCCAGCTGAGTATTGTTGGTAAGAGAATTACGACGCCTTTCGTTTGGTTTAATTAACTTGTTGGAACATGTAAAGAAGGTAGGCAACTTGGATACCTGGTAACGTAAAGGTGGTGGGCGTATGGAAGTCTATTGCAGGGAGTAGTCAAATGCGATCATGTTGAGACTGCCCAGTAATGCTCTGTCTCACACGGTTGACCGAATATGAATTGTTGTGCAGTAACAGAGATGAGCACAGCAGTTGGAGATGTCACACAAAAGCATGTAACATAAGGTAACCAACAGAGTTACACGGAAGTAATTGTTTCAATGCTTGGATATATTGAAATGAGGCTCACTTGCTTCTCAGCACACCCTCTTTGTATCTAATCCAAGGCAGGCTGAGCTCAGTCACACCAATTAGATACCTACCCAAGTTAGATAAGGTACCGTTCCCTTTGCCCTTTCTGGCGTTATTAAATACTTGAGTAATTGATATTCAGAAATGGATTACTAAAAATATTCCAAGTAAACCGACCTTTTGAACTTACTCATCTGGCGATCATTTATTTCTACCTCCCACGCAGCTTTAGATCACTGGTCCTTCTGACAGATATTCATACCGTAGTTCTCTCGAATTCCCTCGAATCTTTTCACTTGTATGTATCTCTTACACTTATAACTATCATCGTCATCTCCTATCACGATGGGTCCAAAAAACGCGTTTGTGGCAGATCAGGAAACGGTCACGACAGACCCTCCTCTAAGTGATTAGCCTTCAGACGAAGTAAGAAATGAATCGAAAAGCAAAGCGCAGCAGCGAGTCGAAGAGGAATGGCAGTCTTCTAAACATGAGAAAGCCATCATCTACACTATCGCTTTTCTCAACCTCATTGTCTCCCTTGATGCTACTATTATTGTCACATCATTGATCGTATGGCGGATTACCCTTAGCATTTATAGTGGCATTAACTGATGAGGATGCGATAGGCAATTGTGAATGAAATTGGCGGCACGACCACGCAAGCCTTTTGGATCGCGACGTCGTACCTTCTTGTCAACGCGGTTACCATGCCGATGATATGCTCAGTCAGCGATATTATCGGCCGACCCCTTTGTCTCACCTTTGCGGTTGCGGCCTTTACTATTAGGACTTATTTCTGCTGTGTTGCCGAGGACATCACAGTCATGATCGTGGGTTGATGTATCCAAGGCGTGGGCGGAGGCGACATCCACTCACTTGGCCTTGTCATGTACACTGATTTCGTTCCATTACGATGGAAACCAAAGTTGTATATATTTCAGAACGTCATGAAGCTAAAGCTTAGATGGGAAGGTTTACCAACTGACATCGCCGATCGTGCAGAACTTTACTATCTGCATGAGTTGCTCACTCTCGAAGACACTACTCGCAACATAGTTTGCGCCGCGTACAAGTTTGGATTCCAGATGGTATTTGCTACTTGGACTGGAATTTCAGTTCTCGCTTTGTTCCTTACCTTGGTGTTTGCTGGACACGCTGATATGAACAGGAAACTCGATATTGAGCATCATATAGACAGCACAAGGATGTTTACCTAGGCATTGGGCTAGAAAGCAACATGCAAGAAATATGGATGGGAACTGAGACTTGGACACATCCTCCTCGCTTATATGTGTATGTAGGTCTTGGAATCAGTGATTATGTTCCTGCTATTCGTCGCTGTCAATGATATACGACTCACTAGTTCCTCCTGTGTGGGGTAATGTTTTTTTAAGGGGGAGGGGCAGGGGGCTTAGGTAGATCTTGTCCCAAGAAACTGGGTGGCTAGCGGGTGGTTAGTGGGAGCTTATATTTTGCTTCTATTATCTCAGTCTTTTCTAAACCGGTGTGTTTAGGCACTAATACACCTTAGTCAAGGGCTGTCAATCAACAGCACTACAACACTGCAACACTTATGAGCTAGCGAACATTAAATGGGTCTATTAAAGGTAGGTGCCAGTAGTTTGGTAAATCCGCCATCTTGGTTAAACGCGATTTTAGGTTATTCTCCGAAATTCGGCATTTCGGATATGCTGTATGACACCAACAACCTCATATATTAGGTAGGTCAGGTAGCTACGCCATATTCGAGAAATTATAGAAATTATTTGACTTGCCTCCCTAAAGTATGTACATATGAGAACGAACAATATCGCTTAGTCATGCCTTCGCTTCCTACCGTTCTTCTCATCGGGAACCTAGCCCATGCAAACGAAGAATGGAAGGCTCTCAGCAGCAAATACACACTTCTTGAGTTTCGCCAGGGGACGAGAGAGCAGTTTCTTGAGAACTGCCGAAATGGAACGTACTCCGCAGTTCGGGGATGTTATCGGTCCAACACCTCCACCTCGATAACCGGGCCCTTCAACCGGGAGCTCGTGGAGTCCCTGCCGGAGTCGTGGAAGTTCATCGCCCACAACGGCGCCGGCTACGACAACATAGACGTGGCAGCGTGCAGCGAGCGCAAGATCGCCGTTTCTTCGACTCCCGGTGCAGTCGACGACTCCACTGCCGACGTTGGCATATTCCTCATGCTAGGCGCCTTGCGATACGCGCACGAGCCACTGGTTGCGCTGCGCGAGGGGCGCTGGAAGGGTAAGTCGCAGATAGGCCACGACCCCCGCGGCAAGACGCTGGGGATCTTGGGAATGGGTGGTATCGGTCGCGCCATGGCAAAGCGCGCGCGCAGTTTCGGCATGGATATCATTTATCACAATCGACGGCGGCTAGACCCGTCGCTAGAGAAGGGCGCAAAATACGTGTCGTTTGACAAGTTGCTAGCCCAGTCAGACGTGCTATCCCTGAACCTAGCCCTCAATGCAAGCACCCGCCACATAATCTCCGCACCTGAGCTAGCCAAGACGAAGAAAGGCGTTGTCATTGTGAACACAGCACGCGGAGCGCTAATCAACGAGGCCGACCTCGTAGCTGCGCTGGAGTCGGAATACGTTTCGGCGGTTGGCCTCGACGTATTTGAGGACGAACCGGAGGTCCATCCGGGGTTAGTGAAGAATAGCCGAGCATTCTTGCTTCCCCATCTGGGGACGAGTACTGTGGAGACGCAGCGAGAGATGGAACGTCTCGTACTGAGGAACCTGCAAGCGGCTATTGACGAAGGCAAAATATTGACTTTGGTGAGTGAGCAAAAGGGGCTTGATTGGGTGCCGAAGGAGGCAGATTTATGATTCTTGATGGATTTATATATATTATAAGCAGTATACCACGAAGTACGTACGTATAATTATGAAATTCAACCTTTAACATGGTCCGACATATGCCTTTACCACACGTCTATATCGGTAAATCAATAAGTGAAGGCGAATTCAAAAGAGTGATCTCTTCATATCAACCATGCCTCAGCTACCTAGGCATACCAACAAATCCTATATAATACCCGAGATTTGAAATTCTGCCAATGTCCTACTTTCTTCCGAAGATTGAAATGATACTGTCCTTCTCAAAAGCACTGGCCACATCCAGCGCCCTTCTCCCCTTGGCATCCAAATCCTTCAACAGATCCAGTCCTTTGGCCATGAACGCCTTAAACATTACCTTATCGTGGTCTTTCTCTTCATAGTACTCTTTCGCCCTCCTAGAAATCAAATGGAGACCCGTTTCGCCTTGTCCGTTTTGCGCAAATAAGTCAACACCGCTATCGGCCGCGAAGAGTCTCTCAAATTGACGAAGATAGTGCTCCACTGAATCCGGTGTGCGAGAGTTTACATTTGCAGATAACAGAAAGGTGTGCAACGGAGTGGACCCATCGTTAGAAACTGCGTTTATAGATCCCCCTTCCGATGTGAACCTTTGCCAGAGAGCTAGACATTTGTCGAAATGATCATCAGGTAGTTTGAATGGATTACGCTCGGATGGAAGTGGTTCTCGGCGTGTCTTGAGGCATTGCGGGGCTATGTGATGTAAAACTGACCAACCGTTCGAATCGGGCTCTAGAAGATCTGCGCCTTTGGCAAGCAGCAAGTTGCAAAGTTCGGGTCGCAGGACACGCGAAGCATAGTGGAACGGCGAAAATCCGTAGTTATCTTTCAAGAGCAAGGTAGGAGCAACTTGTTTGTAGTTGATAAATTCAATAATGACCTCGTCCGACATACCAGTGTTGTCTATGAGGTGATGGAGCGCTGTCTTTCCTTCGTTATCCGCGATGGTGGCATTGGCTCCATAGTCTAGTATTCTCAGCGGAGGGCCCAAGGCCTTAGGATGCCATTGTTCATACGCACTACTAGATAAGGTCTCACGCCAATCGCACGAAGCAATCAACACCGTTCGGCCACGCTGATCACGGCGGTTAAAGTCGATTCGAGTCACACATGGTTCTTGTAGCAACGCGTCCAAGATCTCGTACTGTGGATATTCGCATAGAAAATGGATCATAGTCTCGTCGTCATTCAGTGGCAGATACAAATTAGCACCTCGCTGTACAAGTGTGCGAAGAAGCGGCACCGAGTCTCTAACACTGGCATTTGTCCTCGTAGTAAAAGCTGCACACAGCAGAGCGTACAACTTCCGAGACTTTTTCACCTGGAAATACACGCCCCTACTATGGCGCCCTTCATCGAGCGAATCAACTCCAAGTCCAGTGTCGAGAAATGCCTCTAGTGCTGGGAGGTTTTGGTCGTGTACAGCTAAAAATAAGGGGTTTCTATCGCCAATTGTCGGGTCTGCGCCCCTGCGGAGCAACTCCTTTCTAATTCTTGGGGAAGAAGAACCCTTATGAAGAGGGGAAAGCCTTGCATCGTCCAGGCTGTTTGGGTTAGCCCCATGATCAAGAAGTATGCATACCGCTTCCAATCTCCAGAGGCCTTTGCCAGGAGCACTTTTGAAATCTATATTGCGAGCAGCGATGTGAAGAGGGTTTTCTCTATTTTCGTTGAGAGAATCAACAAAGGCTCCGTGTGAAAGTACATATTTCATGCCTTCCAATTGCCAGCTATGGTCCGCCGATGCCAGTATGTGAAGTGCTGTTCCAGCGGGGTTTACCTTTGTCACGCACACAGAGTCTTTGCTCCCATATCTATCGGCAAATGCTCCCCGTGCATTAACATCGATATGTAAGCTTTCTATCAGGAGCTTTATCATTAACATGTTAGAATTTTTCTCTTGACATGCTAGTTCCAGAGCAATGTGGGCGCGGAAATTATATTCTTGTGTTTCGGCCTTTCTTTGTCTCTCAATCAGATCTCGAACACCTGTGTAAGAGCTGTAGTGCATTATTAGTCGAGATACTCGACTGGCAACCTGTGTGTGACCAGGTTTCATGAGTTCCTCAAGGAGCTTATAATGAGAAACATTTGGCGGGTCGGATTCGAAGCCTTCGTTGATTAACCGTACAACGTCTTCTTCTATCAGAAGATTCAAGTAAGTGTAAATAGACGTGGTCACTCTGCTAAAAGAAGATTTGCTCTCGCCGAGAATACCAGGTGCAGGCCTTGGTCGTATCAAGTCCATAAGAGCTTTCATCTTCTCTTGTAACCGCTCCGGTAGATCCGCTCCCTCTTCCATGTCAAGCTTCCTGGTTGCTTTCTTGAACAGGTCCTCATCTTTGGAAAATATCTCAACGAACTCGCAAGAACCGAACTGAATGGCTATATCTAGTGCTGTTAGTCCAGACATGTTGACGGCGGCAACATTGCAGTTTGCATTGAGAAGTAACTCTACAATTTTTCCAGCGCTGAGAGAGCCATTCATAGCCTCTATCGACCTGCCGTCACGGCCCTTACGATGCCATAACCGTACAGGGGTGAACGAGCGTGGTCGGAAGGTATCTGTACCCGGACCTTGCCATCTGTATCGAGGGTCATGCACATTCCACATGTTTTGCTCTAATATAAACTGCTCACATGCGTGGAGTGGAGTTGAAAGTTCGAGATCCAGTGCCCCAGGATTGGCCCCGTGGTTAAGTAGAAAAGCCACAGACTCCGGTTCTCCTGAGATGCATGCATAATGAAGCGGGGTCCTACCAAAGCAGTCTCCCTGATTTATATCTACCGTTCCCAGTTGAAGTATCTGGCAAACGATACTGGGTTCCCGGCCTGACAGGAAAGATGTAGTAAGTTTTGACGATTTTCCGTTAAGAAGTTTGGATCAGCCCCAGCGTCAAGAAGCGCTTTGACGTGGGCTTCCGAACGCATGGCCGCTAAATGAAGGGCCGCGTTTCCCTCATTATCTCGAATTTCAAAGTCGACATTATTCTGATAATTGATTGCGTCGACGAAATGGACGCGCTTATCAACAGGTACGGCATTTTCGGCATTCTCGTAGCAAGTTCCCTTTATGAAGGTATGGAGAGCTGTACAACCATTATCATTAACGGCGTTTACTGGGATTCCAAGACTAATAAGCCAGCGGACATAGTCTACATCCTCCTTTCCACCCTTATACGACGAAGAGGCAACATGTAAAAGCGTGTCTCCCGAATGGTTTGGTTCAAGGGGGTCCAATCCGTCCTCAGTAATACGCCTTTGCATCCGCTCGCGCGCGCACCAATTTTGGGAGGAAAGTATGTGAAGTGCACCGTTTCCCCTAATATCGGTGCAGTCTGTTTTCGCTCCATAATTGCGGAGAATGCGTAGCTTGTCTTCTGACATCAAGCATTTAAGATAAAGACATCGCTCATCGCTATCTGCGGTGTTGATATCAATACCCTCCGCGAGTAATAACTCGAGAGATTCGGTGAATTTCTCAATGTTGGACTCGGAAGACAAGCCAAACCAACATTGCTTCTTAACAGCATCGTCTGCGCAATTTTTGAGAAGCACCTTGGATATTTCAAACCCGGCGGATATCGCTTTATATATTGGAGTCTTACCATAAATATTCTGGATATTTGGATCGGCGCCGTTTTCAAGTAGAATTTTAATAACGGCTTCTATGTTCTCTTCCTCAATTATAGTCATCGGCCTTTCGATCGCACAGTGCAGTGCTGTATCTCCGTTAAGCCCTTTTTGATTTGGATCACCCCCGTGCTTCAGGAGAAATTGTATAATCTCGGGGTCGCGATGCCGGCGCAAGATCATATTCATAGGAGTATCCCCAGAAACATTGGTCTTTTTCAGATCTGCTCCTGCTTCTACCAAGGCTTTTACAGCAGGTATAGGAAATAAATTCCGACTATATCTTGGCAAGAAATTAGCCGCTCTGATTATCGGCGTTTGATTCTTACCATCAGACTGCTCAAGATCAGCGCCTGCCTCTATCAACATTCTCAAGATAGCTCGGCAAGACAAATTGTTATTTTCGTGCCAAAATTGCACAAGACAGTGTAAGGGGGCTTGTGCAGTGGCAATGCCATAAAGGCCGCCGCCATTTATAGTCCGTCTGGGTGTCCACCTCGACATTTGAGTTACATCCGCTCCCCCATCTATAAGAGCTTCGACACACTTCACATTAGCTGACATACATGCTAAGTATAACGCAGTCGCACTACGGAATGTAGCGTTTGCTGAGACATCAGTCTTTTCCAAGATGGCTATGACTGCATCTGTCCGTCCGAACTGACAGCTCATTCATAGAAGGCGTTCCAACATTTTTGGCTTGCAAAAAGGAATCATCGTTGTAATGACTTGTGTATGGCCCCGTTGGCAAGCGTATAATATTGCGCACTCTCCCTTCGTGGCAGTCTCTCCACTTAGTAGACGCCCTGTATGATTTTCCTTTGTTTTGATTGTGTCAGGTTCAACGCCAGCTTCAAGTAGTACTCTGACGACCGCGACATGATTTCTTTGGGCGGCAAGATGGATCGGCTTTAGGCCATACTCGTCCTCAGCATTCGGGTCACTCCCACGTTGGATCAGCAATGAAGCAAGCTTCGCATGGCCATTGGCTGCTGCCCAGTGTAACGGAATACGTCCCTGGGCATCGACTGCGGATACATCTAAGCCCTCTCTTATCAACTTAATAGAAAGTCTGCACAATCCCGAGAATGCGGCGATGTGAAATGCCGTCGGCAAGCCCTCCGTGTCTTCCGGTCCCTTTGATGTCCGTCCCCCATTGAAGGGCCAACCATCTTCTAAAAGCTTTGTCGTATGATTTGATGAAACCGAAGATGGCGGCGAAAAGTTCTTCGTCTTCCCCCTTTCCGCAAAGACTAGCATGGTATGCCCAGTTTTCCACGGCATAACTCAAAAATGAATGGTGCAAGCAAGCTACCTGATATTTAAAGGAGTCCCCTCGCTTTTTCAATCGTAGATGCTCACGTTCATGATGTTCTGTACCTGGATCAATTTGATGTTGTGGCTTTTGGTAGGTCACTGATGGCTCCATAGCCATATCGCTGGAAATTTTGCTTTCAAGCAGCAGAGAACCCGATTGAAGATATCGAAGGCAGTTGATGGCTATGTGCTGGTGGGCCATTTGGGATTCTATTACCGGAAATGCACCTGGCGTGTTCGTTACTTCTAGGTTGCGCGTATCACCCCGGAGGAACTCAGTGAACGAATGATGAATGACTTGTAAAGTTTCGTCTTCGAGAATCTCTATAAGTGGAGAGCAGCAGGTAGCAACCAGGACCTTAAAGTCTGCCGGTGCTTCGATGCTTGGGCGTATAAATTCCATCAGGTTCGCTAATTCGTTCAACCGCAGAGGGCGAGAGGAATGAGTGACGGCCTCAAGTACAAAAACCTGGGTCTCAACACTGACTTTGTTCTCCTCCCGTCGCTTCGCTAGCAGACTGGTGTATGTTTGCTCCAGTCCGACGGGGAGGGATTGCTCGAGAGCAAAAGAGTTTACTGGGTTCTCTGCCAGGAGAAAAGCCTCTGCTTGGTCCATTGTAAGTTTGGCAACTATGAATAAACCTTGAGACATTTTTGCTACCATATCAATTACTTGCTGTTTAACGTCCCGCGTTTCTTCGGTTTTGCGAAGCGTGTCGAATCGATGATGTAGATACGCCATGATATCAACATCTACAAGACGTTGCTGATGACCTATGTGCACGATTGATGTAACCCTTAAAGCGCTTTGAAGATACTGCTTGGGTCTACTGGTGATAAGTAGCTTCAGGGACTGAGGACGATGGGTAGCTAAGCTGTTAAGTTTGTCAAGGAACAGCCTATTTCCGGTATCATTTCCGTCCATTTCATCCAGAGCATCCACAATACAAAAGCATTTTGGGATAGAAGATACTCCATCAAGGAAAAACCGAAAGAGCTCATTGTCCGAAGTTTCTTCTAGGCTTGTCTCTAAAAGTTGCCGGAGTGAAATTTGCAGTTTGGGAGAGTAGGGCAAAAGCTGGGCAAGCCAATCTCGGATAAGAGCGCGTGGCGAGAAATTGTCTGCAACGATATTTCGAAAGAAGGAGAGTACCGGACAATTTTCAGATGTGCGTAAATGCTGGATAATTGCAGAGGCCATCACACTCTTCCCAGAGCCAGACACGCCTTTAATCCAAAGGGTGCCATGCTCGGAAGAGGCATGTCACTTTTTGTACCCATGGGTCTGAATTATCCATAGTCCAGTTCCAGGGGCCTGGCATGAGAGGTTACGGCGAAACTCTCCTGATTCAGCCAAGTAGTCGGTTGGGTTAAGCCAGTTGTGTATTTTTTCCAACTCCGGGCTCAGAGCCGTCTCCTCGTGATCAACTATCACATATCTACTTGATATGCTCGGTGGGCCTAGCATAGTCGAAAGGTAGCTCGGTATTCAATGGGTTTAATGCCTATTAGAAATGACATCCAAAGCCGGATCATCGTTCCTTTTATATTCTTCTTGTACGGCAGAGACAAAAGAGAGTGGCATGTAGGATGTAGGCAACAGCTTTCATGAGTGGATCCCCATCTACCTGTTATGTCATTGGCCAGGAGCATCATTTCAACGGCAGTACCTAAGGTAAGGCACCTGTCAGATGGACTTATAATAGCAATTGTGCCAATAAGAAATACACTTTTGGCTCGGCGGTTTGTATCTCACAGCACCTTAAGTAAGGCGCCTACCTCCCCTCAAGTTCAATGTTGAATGGTGTCGTGGTGACAAAACAGAAAGATGCTTTTGAATAAGTGTCGAGCAAGATATCTTTTATTGGTGGGATGTTGGTCTAAGACGAATCCTCAACTCCCCTCTCCCACGGTCGGGGGTCTAGTGTCGACATGTTGACATTACAAAATCTCAATGCATCAGAAACTTTAAATAACATTTGGTCTTTGAAATTTGATTACTATTATTGAACATACTTTGTAACGACACAAAAATCCCTTCATATTAGGCTAACCACCTGGATAACCTATTAGTACAGCTTTATGAGGACCTTGCTCCTATGAAAGCGGCGATAATACTATTCTAAACCACCATCGAGTGTAACAACCGGACATCAATTTTCGATAGATGGCTTTTACCTATTTTAAGCGTAGTGAAGCGTCCCAGAACTACCTTAGGTACCTACCTCATATGGTAAACAATAGTTATACCAGACGCGTATCAGCGGCGTTCCCCAAACCCAATCACCCCCTCTTGAACGCTTATCAGTCCCGGTTCCCCCTCATCCTAAGATCGACCCCTATTGATATGATAGCAACGAATCCCCCAAGTACCTAGACTATTTAATGCCAAGTAGTATAATCAACTGAGCAGTAGAGCCAACATATATCTCTCTCTTTATCTGTTCGTCAAATCTGAAGGAGGTAGTAACCCGTATCATGTCTCTAACTCCTCGTGTACTTATCGCAAACCGCGGCGAAATTGCGGTACGATGTATTAATGCGTGCAAACGATTATCCTTCCCAAGCGTCGCCATTTTTACCACAGCAGACGCCAGTTCGCTTCATGTGCGCCTCGCCGATTCGAGTGTCCTCCTTGAAGGAGAAGGACCCCAAGCATATACGAACATGTAAACTTGACTTAGCTACTACCTGTATCGGTAGCTTCACTAATAAGACAATTACAGTGATTCAATTCTTGATATATGCAAGGAAAAAGAGATTACCGCCGTCTTTCCGGGCTACGGCTTTCTAAGCGAAAACGCCGAATTTGCTCGTCGAATTCACGATGCAGACATCGTCTTCATTGGCCCTGATAGCGAGGCTATTCATCAGATGGGCTTGAAACATGTAGCGAGAGACCTATCAGTCTCTGCAGGTATTCCAGTTATCCAAGGTTCCGGGCTCCTTAAGAGCGCGACGGAGGCACTTGAGATAGCCCGTAAGATCGGCTTCCCAGTGAGCCCCCTTCCATATATACACTTTGATTCTTATACAACCAACAGTTACTTTGGAAACGCTTTACCAATTGGCATGTTTATTAACATGGAGTCTATTTTAGGTCATAGTAAAAGCATCCGGTGGAGGCGGCGGCATGGGTCAGTACGTTTGCGAGACCGAAAGCGACGTTCCGACGGCGTTTGCTAGTGTAGATAGCCGCTCGAGAGAACTATTTCATGACACGGGCGTCTTCATAGAAAAATACTACGGTGCAAGCCACCACATCGAGGTCCAGGTATGTTCAACCATTTTGATTAATATTTAGCCAATATTAAAGTGTTATTCAAGGTTTTTGGTAATGGCACAGGGGAAGTCGTAGACTTTGGCGAAAGGGAATGCAGCATTCAGAGGCGTCGCCAGAAGGTAAGTCTTTAAATTACCATCTTTATAAAGGGCCGAGCTTTTATTCAGATACTTATATCGATTTTATATAGGTGGTAGAGGAATGTCCAAGCCCCTATTTAGTAGACAAAGCGGGCTTAAAAGATCGACTCATTTCTGCTGCTTTGACAATAGCGAAATCGATTAAATATCGGTCAGCCGGAACTGTGGAGTTCCTCGTTGACGACATAACAGGGGACTTTTTCTTTTTGGAGATGAATACGCGTTTGCAAGTTGAGCACGGTATAACAGAAATGCGCTATGGTGTCGATCTTGTCGATTTGATGCTACAGCAAGCCAAGTATCAGCTAGAGGGGAAAGTCGGCATCCCTTCTGACGAGCTCTTGAGAATTCGAGCAGACGCAACCCCTAAAGGGTCGGCGATTGAAGTTCGGGTATGCGCTGAGAATCCAGCTGATTCCTTTCTGCCAAGCTCGGGTCACGTCCAGTCGGTTATTTGGCCTAGACAACACGGTCGAGTCGATACGTTCATACAGCTTGGCACATTTGTTAGCCCCTATTTCGGTAAGTAAGGCTCAAGAAATGTTCAAATTTTATCTAACACATGTTCAGACTCGCTCCTAGCCAAAATAATCATACACCGAGCTACCCGAGAAGAATCAGTTGTGACCATGCGAAAAGCATTGGAAACGACAGAAGTTGGCGGACTGGTTACGAATTTGACAATATTGAAGTCAATAATCAGCTCGCCGGGTAAGTAGAGCTATACCCTCGTAGCTATCATAGGCCTGTACTTAACTAACCCATGCGGTAGAATTTTCTTCGGGAAGAACCCTCACGACATTTCTAGACACACAGTTCACTTTCCATCCTACAGGGATCCAAATAATCGAACCAGGTGCATTTACCACCATACAGCAATCCCGTCACAGGACAACGAAAGGGTATGGAATACCGCCAAGTCAGCCATTAAACACTTTGGCTGCAACTAGTATGTTTAAATCTCATTCTCTAGGAATCAAGCCGAATACCTGCTGTAGCTAACTACCGCTGATACCGACAGTTGCCAACCTGCTCGTCGGAAATTCACAAGATGTAGAATGTCTTGAGGTTACTGCCCGCGGACCCAAACTCCGATTCTTTAGTTTAAGCGTAGTAGCCATTACCGGTTACCCATTCTCAGTAGAAGTAGACGGAAATAAAAGAGAGATGTGGTCCACGATTGTTGTGAATCCGGGCGAAACACTCAATATTGGATCATCTGTCACACCAGGAGGTCGATGCTACATCGCGGTCCGAGGAGGATTTCCCGGGGTGTAAGTACTTCCAGAGGACATATCAAGTCAGCCGTTAACCAAGTTTAGGCCTGAATGGCTTGGATCTAAATCCACCACGCCGAATCTCGTCTTCGGAGGTATCCAAGTGAGTATTCCCATGTCCGATAAGCTCATAGGGTTACTAAACTCGATGGAAGGGTCGACAACTACGGCCTGGCGACCACTTGGAAGTGATAGACATTGAGAAATCTGATCTACCTCATTCGTATCAGCTTCCACCAGACTTGATCCCCCCCACGACCGTGACAAGTATTTACGTGATGCACGGTCCACACGATTCCGACGAATACATCACAGAAGCTGGCAGAGAAATATTGTACTCGAGCGAATGGACTATTGATTATAATTGTAACAGAACTGGCATACGCTTGGTCGGCCCGCAGATTGAGTGGGCAAGAAGTCATGGACAGGAAGGTGGTAGTCACCCTAGCAATGTCATCGAATATGGATATCCTCGTCCTGGTGGGGTCAACTTCACTGGTGACAGCCCAATCTTGTTCTCGCAAGATTCGCCCGACCTAGGCGGCTTCATATGCTCCTCCACAGTTATTTCTGCAGATTTATGGAAACTCGGAGCTCTCAAGCCCGGAGATAAGATGAGACTGGAACCAGTTTCGTACAGTTCTGCTCGGAAGCTAGCCAGCCAACAGGCCGACTTCATCAACGCGGTCGCGAAACATATATCGAACGGCATTTTGGCATATGAGAACCCCCTATCGCTCCTAGAGCTCCACGAGGAGTTTCTAAAGCCCGATGCGTTATTACAAGTAATTTCAAGTGACCAAGAAGGGCCGACACTAACATTACGTCAAGTATGTTTTTCTATGCAAGCGGATAGCTTGGCTTCGCTAATTTTCGTCACTGTATTCAGGGCGGCGATTGCTTTATTATTGTTAATATAGATACCTCTCGGGAGATAGGCCTTGAGACTTCGGTGGCAGCGAACAATATTGCGAGATCTATCATAACCCGTAAAGTCCCGGGGACTTTCGTACATATCAATATCAGCTGTCAGTCAATACTCCTTTAACCATCGCTCCTAAAAGTGTATCACTAATATTTTCTGATAGCTATAACCGTCGAGTACGAACCGGACTTGATCGCTCAGTCAGACGTGGTGCAGTTAATCATCAAATCCCACCAGCAAAGCAGTGCTATTGACAAACCGTTACCCGTTCGTCGCTTCCGTCTCCCTATCGTCTTCGATCATCCTTCGATTCGCGAAGCCGAGAACCGTTACGTTACCTTACAACGTAGCAAGGCAGTCTATAACCCAGATAATGTCTCTTACGTACAAGAGAACAACGGACTCAGCTCCCGAAATGACGTGTTCGAAATCCTTCACAAGACGCAATTCCTCGTGGTTACCGTCGGCTTCATGGCGGGTTTACCGCTATTATGGCCCCTCGACCCTATGCCTCGCCTCACTTCTCAGAAGTATAATCCTACGCGAATCTCTACACCCCCAGGAACAGTGGCCCTCGGTGGCGGCATGTTCTGTATTTACCCAGGCGACCAGCCTGGTGGCTATATGATGCTTGCAAAATCCATTCCGGTGTGGGATATGTACACATTAAAGCCAGGCTTTCAAGTGGGTAAACCGTGGCTTTTCGAACCGTTTGACCTCGTCGAGTTTTACAAGGTGAGCCTAGAGGAATACGAAGAGATTTGGAGGCAGTTCGAGGCTGGTACATATGAGATACAGATCGAAGACGCCGAGTTTGACGCCCATGCCGAACTTGCCAAGGACAACAAGAATCGCGATCTACCCGAGGTAGTCGAGTTCCGCGCTAAGCAAGCAGCGGCAGAACAGAAAATGCGTGCCCGGGAAGAAATCCTCCTATCGGAGTGGCAAGAGGAACAAAAGACGAGTCATACTAGTAGCCACGTAGTAGGGGAAGAAACAGCAGTCTCATCGCCGCAAATGGGAAAGGTATGGAAGATACTTACGCAGCCGGGCGAGTTAATAGAACAGGACAAGGCGGTTGTTATCCTCGAGTCTATGAAGATGGAGATCCCAGTAATGGCGGAGGAATCTCATCACGGTCTTAAAGTAAAGGAAGTTCTCGTGAAAGAAGGAACGCTTGTTTCACCTGGCACGTCCCTGGTTCTTCTTGAGGACGTCAATTAAACGAAGGAGTGACGCAGTCTTGAGATTGGCTAGTTCTACACAGCGAACACCTACATCATCTAGTTATTCTATCAATCAATACCATGAGTTCAGCATTTATTAATATTTTGGTACATAAGGACCCAATTCTTTCTACGTAAATCTATTTTAGATATCCGTGACTTCAGTAGCCACTCAATTCAAACCCCTAGTCATTCCCAGCGGTTGTTAAATATTGTAACTCACATCGTTTCCTCCTGTTATGAACATTCCGGAAGTAGATTCGAAGCATATGATGTTGTTTTGTGTAAATTTCTACAGCCAGCGGGGTCTTTTCCCCATGCCGTGGTATTAAGTAGGTACATGTAGGTTAGTACAACCGGTGATCAGGATCCCACAAGACACCAAAAGTCTTTAGCGGTTAGCATTAACCGAATTAATTGGAGGATTATTACGGTGACAGGCCCACGTGAAGGGAGCAGATAACAGCATACCGAATACATGGGGTCCTCCGATCGATAAAGTCTAACCGAGTTGCCTATCTGCGGGGTGGCTCGGGGAATCATTGATCTTCAATGAAGTGGCGGCGGAGATCTAAGGTTGCATTAACCAAAGTCCAAAAAAGAGACACCTACATAAGACAACCAAAAACTCGATGCGAAAGTCATCATGTCCGAAGACAAAGCTAATTCACAATGGATAGAGATCAATTGCGACATGGGAGAGGGCTTCGGGAGATGGCGAATGGTAAGCCCGATTTCCTCCCTTATCTATTACCTCCCCGACTCACGTATAAACTGTTGATAGGGACCGGATGAGGAGTTGATGCGCTACGTCGACGTGGCAAACGTTGCCTGTGGTTTCCATGCCGGCGACCCTGCTACCATGGTGCGCACTGTCCGCCTTGCCAAAGAGCGCGGCGTGCGAGTCGGCGCTCATCCGGGTATGCCAGATATCCTCGGGTTTGGTAGAAGGAAGATGGATATTTTCCCCGAGGATATGTACGCCCTGGTGCTATACCAAGTCGGAGCTCTGGCGGCTATCCTTTCCGCCGAAGGCATGGTTATGAATCACATCAAGCCCCACGGCGAGCTCTATTTCTATATTCAACGGGATGGTAAGATTCGAGATGCTGTACTTCGTGCTGTCAAAACTTTCAATGTTCCGATCTATTCACTGCCCACCGAGCATATGGTCAGCGACTGCGAGCGGATTGGCGTAAAGCTTATCCCCGAGTTCTACGGGGATATAGATTACAACGACGAAGGCGGACTCGTTCCAGTAGCAGAATCATCCCCAGTTACTCCCGAGTTGATCGCTCAACGTATTCAACTCTTCGTAGAGTCCGGGGGAAAGGCGATAAGCAAGAATGGTAACAAGGTGGATATACCGGTCGATAAGCAGGGATTTAGTATATGCGTTCACTCGGATCTACCAGGTGCATTGGCAAACGCTGCTGCTGCAAGGGAAGCTGTTCAAGAGGTAAAGAATGTGTAGTAGTTAGTTATGCGACGATGAGTCAATTAACTTCACTTAGATACTGTATGTTATCGGAAGCGGAAAGGATAGCCCTGCAACAGGCTATCCTTGGCAAGACTATATGCTCGCCCAGGTAACGTGAACACAACGTTAAAAACGTGGGATAATGAGAGGACGGGTATATGTTTTAGGATAGTACCTCTGTATTCGAATATGCTTACTTCTCTGGTATATTTCTCGTAGGCAGTATTCACCGAGGTCTTTTATCTCCTGCAGAATGATATATTCCGGTAAGTCTGTGAGAGCCCGAGTAAAACTCTTCCCAAGAAATGATGCGAATCTAGCTTCAAATCGTGATATCAGAAGATCTCCATATTTTAAGAAAAAATCAACGAGCAACGGGGTATCAACCAATGCTTAGCATTATACATAGCACAAGATTTAAGACCTTTCACTGCTATAGACTTGGTCTAGGCGTTACACGAAGGAGGATCGTCCTAAAACACCCTCCTCTCCTTGATTAGGCCAAAAGATCTCTCGTCTCCTGACGGCTGGAATCGGCAAAGCCATCTCCTTGGCGGCCTAGATCTAGCTAGAATGGCCGAAAATATGGACCCCGGGCGGTCGATACCCTGCTACAGGCCGGGGTTGTGGACCGAGTATAACTTTGAAAGGATGTCGTGATCGGGGCGGGCCATCGCGCAACGTCGCAAACCAAAAAGAAAATAAAAAAAAAATCGAGTATTTCCAATATCGCCAGTGTTGCTTGTGTGAGGTATAAAGATGCAGGTGCGTGCACATGCGCTCTTTCCAACGGGTACGACCGTCTCGCGAATTAAGGTTCCGTCCCGAAAAAAATAAGGTTCGACTTATTTAATAAGGTTATCCGGTCCGTACTTAAATTAAACTTCGAGCCGGAAGAGTACGGGGTACCCGCAATCTACCGGCAAAAAAATGACCGGCTCCTCCGTGACGGACGCGCCGACGAACGGCGCCGCAGTCCAAAAGCAAAAGCGCACCTGGTATCACACGACACTATTCAATGCCTTCGTCATTGGCAGCGTCGGCTTCATCGCGCCGGGGCTATGGAACGCGATGAACAACCTCGGCGCGGGCGGCGCGCAAGAGCCGTATCTCGTCAACGCCGCGAACTCACTCGTCTTCGCCATCATGGGCTTCATGTGCTTGTTCGGGGCGCCCATGGCGAACCGCATCGGCCTGCATTGGGTTTTGTTCATTGGTGCCGTGGGCTATCCGGTTTATTCGGCCGGGCTGTATTTGAATAACCGGACGGGGGCGTCTTGGCTTGTGCTCTTCGGCGCTGTGACGTGCGGTTTCAGCGCGGGGTGCTTCTGGGCGGCGGAAGGTTCCATAGCGCTTGGGTATCCCGAGCCGGCGAAGAGGGGACGTTACTTGAACATATGGCTATTGTTCAGGACTGGTGGTCCCTTGGTTGGAGGTGCCATCGTACTGGCCCTTAATCATAGCGAAAATGCTAAGGCGAAGGGTAAAGTGGGGTCCCAGACGTACCTCATATTCATCGCGTTGCAATGTGTTGCGGCTCCTCTAGCACTCGCGCTGTCGCCGCCGGAGAAGGTCCAGCGTGCGGACGGGTCAAAAGTCGTCATCAAGAGCGAAGGCTCATTCGCAGGAGAAATTCGTGCACTGTGGAGAGCCTGCAAGCGCAAGGACATCTTGCTCTTGCTCCCGATCTTCTGGGCGGCTTACTTCAACCAGTACAACAGCAACTTTCAGTCGTACTACTTTGGTGTGCGGGCGCGTGCCTTGATCGGCTTTGTCAATAACTTTTCGGCACTGATATCGTCACAACTCATGAGTACCTTGTTAGACTACCGCGGCCTTGCCGTCAGGAAGCGGATTATCATTGGCTTTTGGTACGTTGTTGCGCTGCATATAGTGGCTTGGGTTTACTGCTGGGTTATCCAGGAGAAGTATACACGCAACCCGCCGGCCTACGATTGGGAGGATAAGGGATTTGTTGAGGGATTCTTCGTGCTGATTCTCTGGGACTTTTCTCGACAGGCGCTTCAGAATTGGCTTTGTAAGTTAAACTGGATTTCCTGATATTTCTGTCTTTTAAAGCAAAGTGCTAACTTGAAGCAGACTACTTCGTGGCCACCATGACCGACAATATATCCGAGCTCACACGATTCTCAGGTATTCTGAGGGGGCAGGAGAGCTTTGCTCAGGCTGTCTCATTCGGACTGAATACTCAAAAATGGACTGGAGGCCGTGTTCCCTTAGCTGTAAATACCATCCTGCTCGGTAAGTTCGACTCGGAGCAAGTCGCTCAGATCCCCAGCTTTTGGGTCCCAAATGATCTTGTCGAGACTAACCAATTCATTAGGACTGTCTGTATTCCCAACTTGGCTTGTAATTCGCGACCACGTTCCGGTTGGACAAGATACCAAGAACGCCTCCGATAATGAGGGCCATGTGGAGGAAGGTCTTGCGGATACAGTTCTAGTATCTAGTGAAAAAGAGAAGTTCGCCATTGGAAAAACAAGCATCGAGAGAGATGTCGCGAATTGAGGGCACTTATATATACCATTAGTATATATACAACTAGAAGCGATGGAGCTCAAATTGAAATTGACGTTGATATCATAAAGCATCCAACGTAACGATCCATACAACATTGCGTCAAATAATCCTCAACGTGTAGGAAATATCGACGCCGGGATACTAAACACGTTGATCAATCTTCAAATATATCACACAGACGTAAATCATCAAATTCGCGCACCAAGATAGATAAATGATGTAACGATCTCGCCTTTCGGCGGTATTAACTTTATTTCGTCTTGTCTTCTAATATTAGGTATGTGTATATCGTGGTATCATAAATGCCAGGGCCATCTCTTCTATGCAATTAATCTCTTCTCCTATCGCTCTTATCGCTCCTGGTGCTTGACGTCGGGCTCGAGCTCCCACTTGACGACGCCGAGTGCATGAAGCTGTCCAGAACGGCGAATTCGTCCGACAGGTCAGCACTTCGCTTAGCGGCTCCGATGGGACCGTATCCAAGTTCCTCGTCCAGAACCTTGTTCTTCTTCGTAGCACCAATTTCGACGTACTCGTACTGCCATCGGTACATCTTCCCAGGCTGCTGACGGGGCAGCCAATATTTCCTAACCACAGCGAAAATGGAATAAGCAATAATGCCACCACCCAGCAGATCAACAGCGTAGTGGTGGTTCAGGTACATCGTCGCCCAGCAAATCCAACAGACGTAGAATATGCACATGCCCTTAAGCTTCGGGAAACAATAGCTTATAAACAAAGCTTCGAGGATCGCGTCGGCGGCGTGAAGACTCGGGAAGGCTCCAAAGGGCACAGGCGCAGTCGTAAAGCTAGTGGTGTACATGTCGACGCCGAAAAGTGCGTCAATCCGCGCTAATCCGGCTGGGGAACCTTGCATCCCATATTTTGCGGGCTCGAGACCGTGCAGCCTTTCGTACCAGGGTGGCGTGCATGGGAAGAATAGCTGTATCGATACACCCAAAACGCTCATCCATCCAAAACTCTTAGCAAACATCGGGACGGTGCCTGGAGCAGCAAAAATAAACATGATCGCGGAGCAAATGGCGGGAAGCCCAAAGTGACCCAATCCGTCTGCGAGGTTTGGTTAGCAACAGCTCTTCGAAAGTGATAATAGGGACGGATGCCTTACATGGAAACCAAGCGAATACATCTAGGACAGGATGGGTCCATGATGAAAAGACGTTCGAAAAGCTAACTCCATACAAAATATCTTCTAAAGCAGGAAGCACCTTCACAAGGATATCCGGACGGATGTCGTACGGGATGAAGCTAAAGTTGCTCAGTTAGCAATTTATCAAATATCACCACCTCCTCCTAGTGAGTATAAAATAGTAAAATTTCGTAACACTTACCGACTAGAGAAGAAGTACAGGAGATAAGTCCATATAGGCCAAGAAGGAAGAAAAAATTGCCTAGTAATGGGCATGAACAAAAGCAGCAAGTACCCTAAGGCGGCGAAGGTCTTGATGATGGGTGCCGGCGGGTCCATAATCCAGAGAGAGAAAACGGTGAAGCCGGCCAACCCGACATATTGAATGTCAAATACACTCCATTTTCTTGTCCTCAGTAGCTCAAAGGTATCCGTGATCTTAAAAGAGGTTTGCAAAGCAGAGATGCTCCTTGTCGAAACGGAGCCGGATTGGCGCATTTGCTTAGTGGAGTTGCTGTTGTTGAACATTCGGGGAAGGTTGTAACGGCCTGGTATCATCTTTAGCTTGGACGGGCTTAACCTCTCACGCCATCCCAGAGGGAGTTGTGTCTCCGTTTCGACGATAGTAGTTGTCTGCTGCATCGGGACGCTCTCGTACAAGGCCGGGCGAAATCTTTCCTCTGTCTTTCCAAGAAAAACCGTAGGTATCTTGACAGCGGTTTGGGGGGGGAATCAGACCCGGCTTTACGAAATGTTTGTCGAACCCGGGGGTTAACCAAGTTAGCCAAGGTGGGTTGGGCTAGGAATGTTGGGGCTGGTTATCCTCCCAGACGCCAGGCAAAGGCAGATGAAGTCGAAGTCGTCGACTTGTCGCGAATAATTACATACGGGACGAAGCAATTCCGATATCGTGAGATCAGAAAGCGGAAAGAAAAGGGAAGGGGAGGTACATGATATATAATAATGAGAGCAGCCAAAACAAGTAGCAACTTACAGAACTTGCTCTGCTGCTGGGTGCTTTGTTGCCGTATTGTACAATACATAATAACTCAGATATCCGGATATAACGGGGACAGGGATGGAGAAGGACGCAAAGTAAGGCTCGGCTGATTGGGCAGAATCGTGCCGGCGGTCATGGATTTCGAGGAGGAAAAAAAAAAGTTGGTTTAAGGTACGTACTTCACTTCACATCTTACAGGTAGGTACCTACTTGGCCTTACGACAAGGGTACAAGCTTTAGCGGGGACCCATACCGATTATGCATCCACCGATACATGTAACCTGGTTGTGGATGCCGATGTACTGTACACGCTATAGTCTTTAGTACCTAGTGCAATTCGGATCTCACCTACAATTAATGTTTCGACGAGGAGATGATTCAATTCAAATCAGGTAATGAACGGGTTTCCTAATACGCGTAAAAGTATTATTAAATGTATATATAACAATAGATACCTAGCTAGAGCCGGATTAAATTTTACTGCAACATCCCGCACATATTGAAGTACTTAGGTACAACTATGTAGGACTTAAGAAGTTAAGAACCCGGTGTAGTAGTTACGAGCGCCGTACCGCAACTTTAAATTCCAACACGGCTCTAGATTGGGGGCTAATTTTTTCCTCTTCTTTGCCTCTAAGTCTAAGTTAGCGCTAATATCTACCGTACTACACTGATAGTGTGCATCACATATGTAACCTTGGAACTAATCCAACCAAAAGGAAACCGTAGGAAAACCGAGATGAGATTTGTCACTTGTCCTGCCCAGCCTGCTTCCTTTGCAACGCGGCGCGATTGGTCACTTTACTCTATATTAGGGGTTGTGATGCTGATTCCGTAACTGCGGAACATCGGTCTAGTTATTACAGTAGATGATACCTACAACGCCTACCAGAGTAGGTAACTGTAACGAAACCCAACCGATTACTCACTTACGCCTTCAGCCTTCCCAAAATCAGGCATCATCCTCATATTATATGTAATGTATAAATCCAGGGTGCGATTCTCCGAGGCGTATGATGTGGAGGGGTATGCAGAGCAAAAGTAGACACGTGGTTTAGGAATGACCTTGGGGTCTTTCTTAGGTATATACACTGTGGATGAATATGGATACATTTCCCGCATCGAAGGACGATAGTTTTTACTCTCCATTGTGTCAACCATACAACTTGTCTTGAAATGCTTCAAAGTCTAGCCACCCTTTAGTCTAAATTACTACGACCGGTAAGTTGATGACTAGAACTACCATCTCATCTTTTAGAGCATTTAGTAGTTTTCTTGACAGCTATTTTGCCGAGGACCCTTTTTTCTACGGGTTTCCACCTACTATAACATAGTCGATTCTATGGGGCTCTGCATATGTATTTCAATTTTGAAAAGCACCAGAGCATCGGTAAATACTATGTACTAAGCCATAAAGGCTTGACTTGATTGCGCAAATTCCCATGGTGGAATTCCCATGTCAGAATTCTCGGCAAAATCTAAAGCGAAAACGAGTCGAGATCCAGTAAGGCTAACAATGTCCTCATCTTACATGGTCCCTTGTGGACTTCACCAGTTTGACACCAACATCAAACCAGAAGGGAAAAAAAAAACGTTTTGGAATCCAGCAAGCGGGAATCAGTTAGCGCTAGCCTAGCGAAGGTTGGCGCCATCGGAAGAGTCGGGACTGGGGAATGGCATGCGACGCTTGAATAATTCACACGTGCATAACTCCCATACAAGGGGTAAATACAAAAGATAAGTCATTTGCACAAACGAGTCTCGGATTCTGTACGAAAATATGCGAAGGTACCTAGGTAGAGTACGAAGAAACGACGATGTACCAGTACAAGATGCGCGCTTGTGCAACAATAGCGATGCAACCGGCTCTTGGCAGATCTTGGCATGTGTGTATTAGTAGCATATTACAAGGTTTAAGGGCCTTGGCAACCCACTTTGGACCGTTTTCGAGGGTCCCAGAGCCGCTCGTCACAGCCTATCAAAGTTGCGTCGCTACGAACACGCTTATGTATGTCATTACCAATTGAACACATGAGGTTTATAACGGTAATATGTCGTGTGTGTACGGAATATATGTGTGTGTCTCGATAAGGTATTAATGAGGCCCCCAAGAAACTCGAAGTTGAGTTAATAAAGGTTAAACATGGCAGTACGTATAGATGGGTAGATGTTTTACATAGGAAGATAGATGCAGATGTAAATGCAGATGTATATGCAGATGCATCCTTTCAAACAAGCAAAAGGATCACTTAATGGTATACAACACCGCATTCCACATTCCACATCCCGCGTTACTTATGTCCTTGAAGCTTGATGCATTGCATTGTATGTAACCGTCTGCATGGCGCAAATGGTGTCGCCTCTGGTTTGTAAAACGTTATCAGCAACGAGATCGCGTGCGCAAAGAAAAAAAGAGAAGGTGAGTTAAAACGGAAAAGCGAGGATAAGTGGATACTTGGAGGTCCCAGGTTCCCGCTTCGGTCTCCGCTTCTGCCCGACTTACCGACCGGGAACACCGTCAAAGCCCAAGGGAGTGGACCCAATTACTAATAAGATAATAAGAAAAAAAAAGAAGAAGGAAAAAAAAAAGATTGAATAAAGTTCATCCAAAAGGAGATTGGATTAGTTTGTTTTGGTCAAGTACACTTGCATAATTAAGCTAGTTATTTGATACTAGGTCCTATACTTATAATATCTATCCATTTAGTTACCCGGCCATCCTCAATTTTTCAATGCTAACGTCGGGGTTCGGCGTTTTTTTTTTTTTTTTTTTTTTTTTTTTTTTTTTTTTTTTTTTTTAAAATTAAGTTTTTTATATAAAAAATATTAAAAAAAAAAATAATTTTTATATTTATGAGTTTGAAAAATAAGTAACCAACCAAGAAACAAATAAAAACCACAAAAAA